TCATTCCTCAGCAGTGGAACAAAGTATCCACAGAAACGAGAACTGCTCATGCCCTGAGCTCAGCACCTTCTATGGCTTATCTGTTCAGACAGCTCCTGTGGGTTCTCAGCTCTCAAATACAGTATGCATCTTTCTCTTACTCTTACACTATATTGCACCATGTTTTTTTTTAAATGATCAAAACTGAAAATGTAATTTGGAAATTGCAGTTACTTGCATGTTATCGTATCTATTGTATTTGTACTTGAGTCACCCTGAATTCCTGTGGGGCACATCAAACATTATCTCAGTCTTCCTTTCAACTTTTCTTAAGAAAGAAAAGGCTATTCCGAGTTACAACTTGGTCTGATTCTGAGCATTCAGTGCTATTATTCCAGATTGATGTGCGCACAGTGCCAGTATCGCAGGAATCCAAAGCCAATGTTGCAGAAGATTCACCTTAAAACAGAATTGTATGCTGGCGTATACGTAAATGACATGTAGCTGAACCTATGCTAAAAATGCCCTTGAGAGTAAGTAGATGCAGATAGAACATTTAATTCAATCACTTTCAGTACATTTTTATTCTGTAGAATGCCATGTCAAAATGTTGTCCAATGGCTTGTTACAGTGGTGTGGTGTGTAGTAAATGTACAGGAGAAGAGAATAAGATTCAAAGGGTCAAATATGGATAAATACCCCCAAAAATTCCACTCAAAGATCTTAAAAATATGGCATTTTTATATGTTAAAAATATAGAATCCTGACATAGACATAGACATCGAATCCTGTCATGATCTGTCTTGTGGGATTCCATCTCATTCTTCTCACAGAGCCAGGACAAGCATTTGTTAGATTACTGGCCTCTGCACTCTCCACGCCTTTCTACTAGTGTCGAGCTCCAGTGTTGTGAATAGGGAAACCATGGCATAACTGATGCATTTCCATCTCACAAGAAAGATGCTGTTACATTAACGATGAGAACCTACAGTACATTGTCTTAATTAAGTGGATCATGGAATGATGCATTTCCACTACCCTGAATGGTGAAGACTACACTTACTAAGTTTCCAGCTATATTATTATAGACAACAGGCACGTCCAAACCTAGTATGTGCTTACGTGTTACCCATTTCACAACCTGATTCTAAAAATAACATTATTATAGTTCAGGTGGGTAGCTGCGTCAGCATGCGTATTATTATTATTATGTTCAGGTGGGTAGCTGCGTCAGCATGTGTAGGCTGCAAAAAAGAAAACACGTTTCGGCTGTGGAGCCTTCTTCAGGTGTGACCCTCACACCCGAAGAAGGCTC